CCCCCCCCCCGGGGCCCCTCCCTCCGCGAACGCGCGCCCAACCGCGCACCTTTGACTTGAGCCCCTCCCTCATTTCGTCCACTGTGATGGTGCCGCTGCCGTCCTTGTCCATTGCCGCAAACATTTCCTTGAGACCCTCGATCTCCGCGGCGGGCAGGTTGAGGGCGATGACCTGGCAGGGACGTGAGGGGGGTGGGGGTGGGAGCGGTCGCGATTGATAGTGTGTGTGTGTGTGCGTTGAGGTGTGAGTGTTTCTTTGATTGTATGTGATCGCGCAGGAGCGTGCGCGTGCATGGACGCCCGTGCAGGCTCCTCCAAGCGACCCCTTCCGCCCACGAACGCGCGGCTGGTCACGCACACGCCACGCGCCAGTAACAAGCTGAGTCCAGAACACCTCACCACCCTGCCCCCCCTCCCTCCCTCCACACACACACACACACACGCACACAAACACACACACAAACACACAACCCCCCACCTTGAGGGCCTCCTTCTTGAGCTTGTTCATGGCGGCAAAGCCCCTCATCCTAGTCAGCACCTCGGGCTCGATCACGTTGTCGCCCGCCACGCCGCCCTCCCTCACCCACTCGTGGCGCAGCACGTCGGCGGCAGTCGCGCGCTTGGTGGGGTTGCGCACCAGCATGCGGCGCACGACGTCCTGAGGTTTTTTTGAGGGTGTCGTGAGCAAGCGGCAAGCGTGAGGAGTTGCGTGCGTTGAGAGTTGAATTGCGCGTCTTCTTGCGTGGATGCATGTGTGTGCATGTGTGTGTCAACGCATGTGTGCACGTGTGAACACATCATGGTGCTGTGTTTGAGAAGGTGCATGCGTGTGAGTGCAGTTTGAGAGATAGGAGGACACACACACACACACGTAACAACACACACACACACACACACACACACACACACACACATACACACAAGCACACGCCCCACCTTTGCAGGTTCAGATATTTTGGGCCAGGGGTCGCTGTTGAAGTCCAGGGGGGCCTTGATCACGCTCTCAAATATCTGCTGCTCGTTGTCCCCGTAAAACGGCGGCATCTGGGGCGGCGGCAGGGGCGGCGGGGGCAGCGATTGTCGTCGTGCGTGTGGTGAGCAGAAGGCGGGGGAGGGAGTGCGGGGTGGTGCAGGGCAAGGGAGGGCGCTTGTTTGCCCACCGTGCCTGCCGGCAATGCGAGGTTGTGGCCTTTAGTGGCAGGGCAAAACCAACCACCATGTCATGCACACATCCTGAGCACTCCTTACACACATACACACACACACACACACACGCACCTCACTTGCATGCACGCACGTGTTGCCGCACACGCACACGCGGCTCACCACCCACGGCGAGCAGCAACGCGGAGTGCGACTCAGCACACGACATGCAAGCGACCACGACACACATGCAATCAGACGTAGGAGACAATGGCAACTCACGCGCCTCCCCACCTCCGCTCTCTTTGCCCCAGCCCTCCCTCCATGCATTCCTCCGCCCCTGCCGCCCTAACCCCCACCTTCACCC